AACCTCTTCAAACATGCTACTTGCCATTAAATACAATTATTCACTGAGAAGTGTACTTTTGTCAGAGTTTGAGAAATGTAATTCAATCCTGTGCCTGTATAGTGCAATATAAAACTTACCTACATAACGTTTTACAATGGTTACTCTGATTATGAACACTATCACAGTATTCTGTAATGAGCTTCAACTTAATTCCAGAACTTCCTCAAACACATTATCATGTTGTATAATATGTCGCATCATGTACTGAATATTCCACTTATGTGGTAGTTTTAGTTCTAATGGTGGTTTTAGTTTTAACTCCAAATTATATGCTTTAAAAGTTTAAAAATTGTTATATATACACATTATATTACATAGCTCTCTGGAATACTTGATTCTGATTGGTCAGTTGTAGCATTTTGCATTCTGTCATTTTTTCCCTCACATAACATAATTCAGTATTTCTTGTCAATTACTAATGTATTCATTTCCTAAGTAGTCACTGTAATAAGTGGAATAATGTGCAGTCAGTAAGTCATTATTGCAAAATAAACTCCAACGGGGTAATCAGGACCCTGATGTGAATCAGAGGTCTTATATCAGCAATACTTGATTCTGATTGGTCAGTTGTAGCATTTTGCATTCTGTAATTTTTTCCCTCACATAACATAATAATTTCAGTATTTCTTGTCCATTACTAATGTATTTATTTCCTAAGTAGTCACTGTAATAAGTGGAATAATGTGCAGTCAGTAAGTCATTATTGCAAAATAAACTCCAACGGGGTAATCAGGACCCTGATGTGAATCAGAGGTCTTATATCAGCCTAATGGGTTTATTTATTACTTAACCTTTATTTTGTAAGAAGAGGTTGATGAAAGATCAGTGTGAAAGGGCATGGTTGTGTTGCAGTTTCCTTTGTTATTGATGTGTAGTCTGTTTCAGGGCTGGTTTGTCCCGGCATATATGTCCCAATGAGTTCCCATGGCATTGTGAGTGTGTATAGTTTTCCCTCTATGTTGGCATTGCTCCCTGTCACGGGACCCACACAATAACAGCTTTTGTCCCTTCAGTATGTGTGTGTGTGTGTGTGTGTGTGTGTGTGTATTTAGATAGGACCAAAGAGCCAGAGTTCTGTCAGCTTTCATAACCCCATGCAAAAGGATGTCTGTTTTTATAGATAATTACAGTATATGTCCAGCTCAGAAAGGCCCAGCTAGTATTAACTTACAATTCTCTCAGATATTGAGAATATACTGTATTAATTGCCTTCATCTGCTTCAATAATTTAGTATTTAGCAAGTGGCGCTATCACATGTGTGCTTTTGTGTTTTTTCTTTTATTTGTATGTGTGTGTTTCTTAGTGTATAAATGTTCAGTATGCTTGTGCTCAGTTTTGATTTGATTGTCAAATATGGATTTAAATGATTTGTTTGCATTTCATTTGATTTCATTGTGGCAGTTGAAAAAAGGGAGTGAGCACCTGCAGGCAGTACATTACACAGCTGTCAGGATAACTACAAACATGAGTATTTAAATGTACAGAGTAAATGCTACATTGAGAAGTGTTTTATAATTTTGTATGTCTATTCATGCTTTTGACACTAGTAAGACTCAGTGTGTTAGTGTAATAGAGCTGGGTAAAAAATATAGATTTTTGTTCTTTTAATCATGAATATAGTCCATTTCACAAACAAATGACTTTCATGAGTCTTTTTAGTGCATCAGAAACATATAATGTGATGAGTGTAGCCCCCCCCCCCCCCAACCA